TCACAGTTACCGTATTCTGAGAAGACATTTTCCAGTGTCTCACAGCTAAGAGCTCCCAGGGTTCGAGCAGGACTGAACACATCCTAGCACTATCTTCAGTGGCTGAGTCAGTTCCAGCCACGTGGGTCAGATGCAGTCTGGTGAGACGTCAGACATCAAAGCAGACAGATTCGTCTCTCTAGTGCTCATACAGCTGCCTGTGTTGGGCCCAGGAAGCCTGAAAAAAGTGATGTCAATGCATAGAGAAAGAAAGGACATGTGGAGGCCAAGGGACCAGAGTGAGGAACTAATCTGCAATGCTGGACATGCGGCAGCAAGCAATGGAGCAGCAGCTCAAAGTGGTGTCCAGGATAATGAAAGAGAACTATGGCCTTGGATTTAGGGGCGGTGGGGGGAAGTCAGAAGTTAGGAGCAGGCTTGCAGTGGGATTGCTGAGGTGATGGGGATTGGTTAAGTAGAGTTGAGAAACTGGCTGGGGATGCGAGACTGAGACAAGGAAGCAGTGAGGTGAGGTATAGAACTGACAGTGAACCAAGATTCAGATGAAGGACTGTAACTAGAGACTGGGAGAAAGGCTGGGAGCTCTGAAGTGGAAGACTAGTTTTGAGTCATGAGAACAAGGCATTGAGGAAATGAGGACTGAGGTGGAAAAGACATGGAGAACAGACCAGTTTTGGAACCCAGAGCAGAAGAGCCAGTACTTGGGCAAGGATGAACTGGAGAAGACTGAGGAGGACAGGTCATACTTAGGAGGAATGAAACAAAACCCTACATCTTATACAAAATATTCTTCTCCTTAGGATGTCTGATTTCAGTAGTCCTCTGCTGTTGGCAGATGTATATGAACCCCACTGGCAAACCACCAGAGCAGAGTAAGATTGGCCAAATGCAGAGTAAGAAACTAAGGTAGTTATTAATTCTGTTCTTGCCAAGGACCTATGCAGTATCCTTAGCAAGGCTAATCTTGATGATTACTTCTGAGGATGTCACTAACTACTGCTTCTGCTTTGCAGGAGGGAGAGGAAAGGGGGTTCAGTTTACTTTACAAAATATCTAAAAAGAAAAATTGCATATAACACAGGCCAAAGCAAAACATGTTGAAAGTGTATTATTACAGTTGCAAAGGCAAGTGGCTGACAGGCATAAAATACCAGAAATTAAACATGTAGAGTACAGTCGTAGTCTTCCCCCTGTTAGGTGTGCGTTACAGGGTTGGTATTTTCATGGCTTTTTGTCAGAACTCAGAATTGGCCAATTCATTTGTCTAAATATGAAAAAATAATGCCAAGATGGCTTGATTTCCAAAAAGCTCCATTAGGACTCAGGCTTAATTCCAACAGAGCCATGTCTGCCAAGCAAAAACCTGTGTATTTTCTTGTCAGCTTATTCACCCTATTCCCAGCAGACAGCTTATGGAACTGCTAGCTTCCAAGACCCAGATTTTGGGTCAGAGACAAGGGACAGGCAAGGGATGGTGGGAGTTGGCATGCCACATCTCTGTGGGATAGTTATTTGGAGTCTGCAGACCTCTGGGGTAGGCGGCTATGCAGACAAGGGCATCAGTTACTCCTAAAAAATGGGACAACTGATTTCATGTGGTGTCTAATTGATTCTTCTGATCAGTAATGCAAAGAAGTAGCTGGCCTAAGGTCGAATAAGTGCCCAGCTTCCAAGCTTTTGGCTTCCTGACAGCCTGCCAGGTGTGAGGCTGCACAGCAAGGCTCCATAAGCTCAACTCTTGGATTCTCTGGTAGCCAGGATTTCATTTTGAAGTTACTGTTGAGAAACTTTCTGTTCTCCTATCTGAGATCTTACAGTGTTTTCCGAGGAATGTCCTCAAGATTTTGCTTTCATTTGGATGTTTGTAAATCTCAAGATACGCTATACAGAATGGGCAACCCTCTTGTATTTGATTACATGCTCATGCTGTTGCATATCTTTATTTGGATGCTGCTTTTAGCAAGTGCTCATTCCAGACAGAATGAGGATGCTTCATGTACTGGAGAGTCTGGAAAGTGGGCAGTAAATGTGACAGATGACTGCAGAGAAGAAAGGCCAGTTATATGCATAATGCAGCTAAATGCTGCCCTGTAGAGCCCAATTCTGTATTCACCTTTGCCACAGATCTCTCAGATAATGCTAACTAAATGACTTAAATCTGTGTTCCCCAGGAGATGGCTAAGCTGGGTGACATGGCTGATCTGAAGAAGGAAAAAGAACTCTCAGAAGCAACTTCATTTCAATGGCAGCAGAGCTTTGAACATACAAATGCTATATAACAGCAAGCGAACTGGAAAAATAAAGCTGTAGGCTTCTGAAATTGAACATACAAAAATTTGTGGATACTTTTAAGTTCGGTCTATGCCTCAGTTGCCATTTGCCAAAGTGCTCTCGATCACCCAGGTAGGTTTTGAAAATGAATGCATTGTTTCTGAAACACTTAGATATCACAGTGATCATCATCTCAGAAAAGCTCATGAGGAAATTGATAATTATAACTTCAGAACAGAACATGGAGGAAACAAAATACCAAGTAACAGCTCATTAAGTATCATCTATTCTGAATCACCCTTCAGATGACTGGTTTGAGGTCATCAGGAAGCTTGTAGCAGAAATGAGAACAAACCAAAGGACCCATAATGTTGACGATGCGCAATAATTCTCCCACTGTTTCTCTAGAGAAGAAATAAGTATACTGATGATATAAGAAGTTGAACTATAAATAAGGAGATCTAGGCAGTCATACTAACCCTCTTTATAATGTCCTATTTCAGAATATTTTAAACTTATAGTATGCAAGCTAGGTAATATTTTGTATTTCTTGAAATCAAAAACAAGTGCCTGAAAACTTATCATACTAACTTTGGAATCTATAAAATCAGAAGACAGTCAAATCACTAATATTTTGAAGCAAGAGGTCACTTTTGACTCTCTGCTAACATGTTAGATAAAACCACTATGTAGTTACAGAAGAAAACAATACATTGCCATCTAAAAAACCAGTGTGGCAATGCTGACCTCCAGCTACAGTAGCAGCACCTTGAGAATTGTTCAGGTCAGACATACAAGGCTCACCTTTGACATTTCAGGCTTAGCATTTGAGGACAGGATATTAACCTTCTTCTAAATAACAATGTCTTGTCAAGGCCAGGCTATGCTGCTGTAGTAAGGGCACTTTGCAGCCAACTTTGGCAACTCCAGATCAATAGGTATGAGCCACACTGACATGTCTGCTTTGCATGTGCCATAGATCACTTTTCATACTGCAACTCACGCTGCTTCGATGCATTTGCCTTATGGAGTGCATGCAGGATGAGGCTGCATCACAGGTGCCGGGCAGCTCAGCCCACTGGCACTCTTCAAACATGCCACATGTTTATGCAAGTTATTCAGAGTACACAGAGTCCCTGTTTGAGATTTCTGATCAGCCAATGGCACTGGCAGCTGAATACTCAGAAATATAGTAGAATACCTTTAAGGAAGAAGTCAAATCATTGACAAAAGCTGCAGTTCAATCAGAGTTGACAGAGTTGGCAATCTGCTTTCTGGGGCAGGAAAAACCAGTACTGCACCTGAGGTACCAGCTAGCATTATCGGTGACTAGTAATGTTTTCATCTAAATGCCCGAGCTGTAAGGATAGACTGCTGGATATTTTTTTTGTCTGGCTACGCTCATTTTGATAGTCATTTGAAGAATGGTATCATTTCAGAGGCAGCATTCCCCTCAGATTTACCATGGTAAACTGTTAGTGCAGCAGCAACACAATTACTAATTTGGCATTCCGTTCCTAAACTGCATCAACAGATCCGTGATATTATGGTAATGTCAAGCAAAGTACTACATACATGAAAAGAAATGGTGACATCAGCTTTTTATGCCACAGCATGTGACCAGTGCCCCTGATGGTCTCAGGTGTGTGAGATGTCATGCCTTTCAGAATCCAAATTGCTAGTGGCTTAAAGCTAATCCTCTAACCTCTTGAAATAATTAGCAATTACATCACTCCAGACTGAAAACAAGAAAGAGCCAAACAAACAGAATAGAAAGAAGTTAAAAGATCAGGTGTCTGTAACAAAGTCATTTTACCTTACTGTTTCTCTGTATGTTATCTGAGAAAAGATACAGGAATCAACCTTCCTTCCTTCCTCTCCTCTCCCCCCCAAAAAAAAAGCCTAGGAAAAGTTTCTAAGAACTTCAGGAATAGTGAAATTATATCTCAGTTCCTCCTACAGGTTCACATGAAGTGCACTATTTAGTGGCCCCATTGCTCAAAACCAGGTGCTACTGCAATCAGGTTTTCTGTCTTTTGTGTCCTTGTGAATAGATCTGAACATTGCCACTGTCAGAATAGTCAGAACACAATGCTAAAAAATTCCTGTTCTCATCTATTGCTGAAGTCTCTCAGGGCCATCTGAACATCCTTGTTTGGGACTATTTGAATAGATTCTAAGCATCCTATTAGAATTTCAAGTCACATTTATTTACAGTGCTACCTTTCTAAGCATTAAGAACACTCAGAAAAGCACACTTAATGAGAGGAAAGCAAGGTTAATGCTTTTAGTTCCTGTCTCTGCTTATTGGCAGAAACACACACATTAAAACTCTCATCTTATTTTTTTAAAAACTAAAAAGTCACTGACTTTCACATGAAAATGTGAACTTTGTCATCCAGCAGAGAAACAGTCACCAGTGAAACCTAAATGACAAACCATTAATCTACTGACTTAGTTGTAGTGAAAACTGCTCATAGAAAGCTTGCTTCTGCAAGGCTTGCACTTAGAAAGCAATATTTTGTAGCTGAATGAATGAGGCTAAAAGTGAAGAGACAACAAAACACAGTGACTGATTAACATCTATGTCATCATTAAAACCAAACACAAATCTGGATTAACCTTCTTAAGTGCTCATTAGCTAACTGCCAGGACAATCCTATGTGTGCAACTGTTTCTGTAAATGACACAGCCATTAGCTTGGCTCTAGTTTTCCAAATTAATCTCACCTTTTACTGTCACGTGCACGCTCTGGCTGGTGGAGAGCTGGGGTTGAACGAGGACGTTGCATGTGTATTCACCCTCATCTACTTCCTTCTGCACATCTGAAAGCTTCAGTGTCCCATTGTTCTCAAATGCCACTTGGCGATGGTTAAATGGTAGCAGGTTAGAGTTCTTGTACCACTTGATGGAGTAATACGGGTAGCCGATCACACGACAGTGGATGTAGGTGTCCCGTCCAGCTATTGCTGTGATGTTCTTCATTGGTCGAATGCTTGCTGGCCCTAGAAAGGTAAAAAGAAACTCTTGAAAACAATTTAAAGGCACATTTGCTTGAGGAAACATGCACATAATTTTTCTTAATATACAAATGTTAACGACATTTACAGATGCAGCTTGCACTACACTTCTTAACATTTGGCAGTTTTTGCTTTTAAGAGCTACTTAAGCAGTTTTGCTAATCTTTATATGCTCTAGTTTTTTCTAAGGGTATATGTTTGCATTATCCAACACTCGCCTGAGAAAAATCTTTGCTGCATTACTAATTAAAAGGTTGAGGATGATTTAATTAATATGAAATGCTAAAACTGATACAGAGCTAGAATTCTGTTACACATGAGAACACTGACAAAGTTACTTTTTTTTTTAGACATATATAAAGTATAATACCATGAGGATGGGTATTATGCCATGTAGAGCTAGAGAAGCAAGCTAAAGTACTGTATACATGAAAAATTACAATGAATGTTGGACAAGTAAAGGAGGAAAAGAAAAGAAAAAAAAAATCAACATGCACAACTCTACCGAGGTAAAGAAACTGTGAACTAATAGAGATGAAGTATAGGAAAAATAGACTATAGAACACAAGCCAAAGGGTTCTTCCAACATTTAACCATACCATACACTTTCTAGATGGGACTGGAGAGACAGGGTGGGAAAAGAGAGGGGGGGAAGAAAAGGAGAGGAAAAACGGTAAGTCGGTTTTGGCATTCCAAGACTCATTTCATCACATGCAACAATCTTCTTCTTCACTACAATGAGTTATGTGTGTTTTTTGAGGAGCTGATTTGACAAGCACCTCTTACGTTTATTCGAGCCTGGTACGGGACGACTCCAGCAGAGTTGTTGGCAGTACAGCGATAAACTCCACCATCTCGGACCTGAGTGTTAGAGATGTTCAGGTAACTGACCACGTTGCCTTCGGAGGTGATAATCTGGCTGATACGATGACTGCCATCCTTCACGATGGGATCTTCATCCAGAGTCCAAGTGATTGTAGGCAGAGGAGTCCCCTTCACGTTGCACATAAGAGAGACTGGCTCTCCCGGACTCACCACTTTCTCACTGAAGGCAGAAATGATTTTGGGAGTTCCGTCTGCCAAGGGAAAGAAAAGCAGGATAACAGTACTTATATAGTGTTCTCTCTAACCTGGAACCTATCACATGAGCCAAGATCTTTTTTTAGAAGCAATGCAAACAATTGAGTTCCAGGATGTAACTCTAATTAGTGAGAGAGGGAAACAAATTTTGGCAATGGAGTTCTTAAATGATCCTTTGCTTACTGCTGGTTTCTTTTGCATCTTCTGAGAAACCTGGTACTGACTCCGCAGAAGGAAAAACACTTGAATAGGTGGACCAGGGTCCTGAAAAGCTGTATGAACTGCTAGGTTTTGTGGAAAAGTGTTAAAGCCATACAAAGTTCATCACAAAAAACATACAGCAAAACTTCAACACATTTGGAATTTTTCTTCTCCTGGGTACATTTCAGCTCCTTGGAAAGCTAAGGGCGAATCCTGTTGGCAAGAGCCAGGCATAACTTGCATAGGCTAATTTCACACAGCTGTGCCAATGCAGTTTAGACCTGACCCCACAATACCGCACTTAGAAAAGTATTAAATTAAACTTTTCTGAATACAGATTGCCAGTAACAGTGATGCCAATTTCTCTCTGTGGTCATTTTGTGCTACAGATAAATATTCCTTTGAAATGAGAGCATTCAAATGCTTTCTCTTGTGATCTGTGTCATAATTTACTCAGCTTCTGCCCAGCAAGTGAATAAAGAGAATGGATGGAGACAGAAATTCTAAGATTCTAAGTAGGGAGCAGGATTAAATAACCACCTATCCAGAGAGTTCAGAGCAGGGTAACATTTAGGAGTGTCGACACTCTGCTATTAGTTAGGTAGTTCTTTCCGAGATCATGCAATGCATGTTTGTTCTTCTCTGAAAATCATACTTTCAAAGCTGTATCTAGAAGGAATTTCAGTGTAATTGGGAGCAAAAGGCCACATGCCAAGAGCAGTATGCAGAACACGGGAAGCAATCCAGTCTGAAGTTCGGACAAGAGTGCTGCAGGCTACTGTCTGGTTTTAAGGAGCCAAGTGGCAAGAAAACTAACTTCAGTGTTCCTACGGTGTTAGTGCCTGCAAGAAACAGAAGGAAAAGGCACCTCGTTACCTAGAGAGAGGCCAAAGACACTTGAAAACTCAGCTTGTACACGAAGCCCTTTAGGGATGATGTCTTTCAGTTTTGCACACGACAGAGGATGTCAGGACAGCACCAACAAGTCTCAGGCTCTGTACGATGCACTATTTGTTTGTGCACACTATGTACTGTCTCTGCATGTACACCCTGCTACGTATTACCTATATGTTTGAGAGGCTCAAACTGTGATGACTCCCCTGGAAATCACAATTCTTACATTACTATTTCAGTGCAACGTCACCCAGGAAACTGAAAGAACTGGTACGACGTGTGCAATACTCCCCACAAAACATGCTGAATCATAGCAGAATTAAAAACAGGGCTGCAAAATTCCCTTGCTTGCCACACAGTAAAAAACATAAGGCACTGCCACTCACAGGCTGCTGAAAGACATCAGCATCCCTGGAAGAGCATTTGATTTTACTTGATTTCAAAGTTTTCTCCTCTGCCCCTCTCTTTTTCCTTTCTATACCACTGGTTAGGTGACAGAATTCCGATTTATTTATTTATTTATTTTCATCTCTGACTCTCTTCCTTTCCTTTGCTGTGTATTTGATACTGTCATTCCTCAGAAAACAGAACAACAGCAGAAAAAAAAAGCATTTTATCCTGAAAGAAAGCTGACACAGGACCAATAAATCCATGAGTGTGCACACTATGTACCTCTGCCACCACTCCTCCCCACCTTTTTTTTTTTTTTAATTCAAGTGACAGGCTTTTTTTTGGAGATGAAAGGAGACATTATTTTCCCAGTGAGACCTTAGTGTCTTTGAAATCTTTCCTGCTGTTGCTCTCTGATAATCTGCACTCTCTCGACATCATGATAGATTATCAATATGCTCTTTAGGCTTTCTTAGTCATGGGAGATGGTTGCCGAGGTAACTCAGTCCAGGCAGGTAATCGCTTCTTTTTCTATACTCTAAAAATAGCGTCCATGCCATGACTGCACTACAACCTCATTAGTGAACTGGCTTGGTACAAACAGATAACTTTCCTCACTTGATTGTCATGTAGAACATTGTGTCAGTTAGTTAAGAGGATCTCCAAGACTTCAGCCAGTATGTCTAATCAGAAAAGCCATTCCAGAAGATGCTT